GTTCATGGGGAATAAAATTTTTCATATATTTTATTCTGTTCATTTATTTCTGCCTTGTATTATTTTGGCACCATGCCTCATTATCTGCGGATCCTCTGTGAATTTTCTTCTGTATCTTCAAACGTGGCGTTTCTGTTCCAGAGCGAAGAGGAGCGGAGAGCAGTGAAGGACGAGCTGCAGGGCGGAGCAGCAGAGGAGATAGCCGCCAGCGGCTAGCTGCCGGCGCCAGGGGATTTCTACAAAGAGCATCGCGGCCCTCCAGCTGCAGCACATCTGCAGCCATGTTTACGGCTTCTGATTTCTGCTTCTACTCCTCTATGTGTGTGTGTGTGTGTGTGTATGTGTGTGTGAGTTTCAGACCATAAATGAGGCCAGTGACTGACGCCTCGCCTTGTGGCCCACTTTATGTCCTCTTCTCCAAGACTTCAACCTCCGTCTCACTCTGGTGGACGATGATGTCCTACTTCCTTGCTCTCACTGGCTGCTGTGCAGTTAAACGTCAGTAACTGCTGCCCACAATCTGATCCAAATACATGTCATTTATGGTAAACAGAGCAATAAAATCTGATGTTTACTGAACCAGAACCAGCATTCAGCTTCTACACACCTCAAACTCCAGAAAACTCCAAAACTGCCGAAACATTGAGTTCCTTTAAATCAAGTCTTGTTTAGAGTTGCTTTGGACCACAATAAATGGAACATTGACCAGCAGATCTGATGTGTATTGATGATTTTTAATGATGTTTTGCAATCAGTGACTTTTTAATATTCTTATGTTTGTATAACGTAAAGCCTTGTTGCTGAAATATTCTGTACAAATAAATTTGATATTTGAGAATCGTGGTGTATTGTAGAGAATTTGGTTTGCAAATTGCTCTAGTTGCAACTGATGAACGATCCGATTCTTTTGAACAGTTCTTTATTTTGACTCAAGTCTCAGTGGGAGCTGTTCTGTTTTTCTCATTCTCTGCACACCACAATAGTTTTTATTACTCTATTTGATTTAAAATTATATTTATTTAATCAGTAAATAAATATACTGCTAATTAGCAATGCTAATTGCTTTGTTTGTTTTTGTCACCTGTCATGGCGGCAGATGCATGTAGCTCTATGTGCTAGCTAGATGCCAACCTTTCTTGTTTTTCGTTAATGTTCATAGTTTAGTGCTTATTGTTAATGCTTTGCCATCACTATTATATTTAACGGTGCAAAAGACAAATTTTGTTTTTGCCAAAACAATTTAAGCCTACCCTTTTCCTTGACTGTTACATTTTTTTGTTTTATTTAGGTTTTATATTACAACTAGCATTACAATGATGTTATCAATACGCTCACATTTAAAAACACTAGATGGGTATTTTACATTTATATTTTTGATATTTTGTAATGATATATGCTTATTTTTATGCTCAAGAAAATTGTATTTGTTTTTATTAAATACAAATGATTCAAGTTTTTTGTGAATTTCAACCACAAAAGGCGTATTTGGGATAAAATGGCTTGTTTTTAGAAAAAATAAATACTTTCAACAATGGATCAACTGAACGGCTGTAAGAAGTGAACGGATCTTGAAGATTCGGTTCCCTTCAAGTCACCAGTTGCAATGTTTATTTATGTTGGCTTCACTTCTCGCGCTCCACTAGGGGGCGCTACAGTAGTTTATTTTTATAGGTTCCAGTAACTTGACAGAAAACCGGAAGTGAGTTAACGGCGGAGAGGAAGTAGTTTTTACTGCAGTTAGACGCATAGACATGATTAGACGAAGCAAGCAAGCTAAATTACCCATAAAAACAATTCTCACTCGCATTCTTAAACTTTGCCCTGCGACGGACTGGCGGCCTGTCCAGGGTGACCCGCCTCCCGCCCGTAACGGTCACTGGAGACGGGCACCTGCTGCCACCAGCACAGGACGATGGCGAACAGAACATGGATGGATGGATTCTGAAACATTTCCCAACATGGTGAGTTAATTTTGAACGTTGTAAAGCTATTAAGAAATGTGTTTTTGTCTTTCATGGGTATTTAGGCAGATTAGCTTTAAGCTAACGAAAATGCTAGTGGTTTTCATGGGTTATTTAGAGCAGTAGCAGCTAATTAGCACAACGCTAGCTCTTATTTATTGCTCTGCATGATTTAATGCTGATGTTTTTTATACCATAAGGTAAAATATGTGCTGTATTATTTATCTTAGTTAATTCAAGCATAATGTTAGTGATATATGATCATATTGTTTACTTAAATGTCTAAATCTGTGATTTGTTTGTTTTGCGTTTTGTACCATTCTTAACTATTGCCATTTTGTTTTACTTTGTTTACATTTTAATTGACTTGATCATTTAAATTCACCAGATAATTAATAAATAACGAACAGCTAACTTTTGTTTCTTGTGTCTATCTATATTCAGAAAGTAAAGGAGCAGCAGTATATCATTTAAAGTTGTTTTTTAAAGCTCCCATTTTTAAGGATTGTGCGTTTTGCAGTTTTCTGAGTCACATAAAGCTTGACTGGACATAAACAGACAGGATTTCATTTTCAGGTCCCATGAATTATGGAAATGGGGAACGGAAACTGAAGGAAGTTGCTGAGCCGAGGTTTTCTGGATGAACTGGATGCACAAAAAATCCAAACAAATCATGCTGGGTTTTGGCTTCGGAGTGGCCTCTTTAATGCTTGCACCGGGGTATGAAACACACTACATTGCATGATAAATATTATTTCACGCACAAACTGCTAACAGAGACCTTCTTGTCCTCTAAGGGAGACGATGCAGTCAGCTCTTCCATCTCCATTACAGATTATTTATTGTTTTTACCTCTAACCTCTTCACTGTTCGTTCCTCGTTAATTTAGCCAAAGTCACCCAATGCTAAATGCTATAATTGTTGTAAGAGGTTTAACATATAATTTTTAATTGCATCATCTGAACTAATTGCAAATCCATTAGCAGTTATGACCAGAAGCCTAGCAGCAGCCATCCAGCTGGAAAACTGTTTCTCTCCTAGCAGTCCAAACGTACCAATCCCCATTTAAATTGAATGCAGATCCTGCAGAAAACCTAGTGATCAATCCGTCCGTCACAGAGACTTAACATGTTAAAAGTGACTTGATACGTAACAATTTTTTGCACAAAGTCATTCTTAGATAGTCCGTTTTAGGGCATCTTGCCATTTTAAATCCAAAAAAGCTGCTGGCCATGCTCCCAACTCAACATTTACACTCTCATGTGAAAATAATTTCAAACAGATGCGCAATTATACAAAGGTACATCTTTGAAAAGCAGAAGTGGAGCCTCCTGTACAACCAGGAGGTAATTTCTGGATGGTAAACCAACAAAAAACCATTGTACAGTGCATAGAGTGGTGAAACCAGCTGAACAAACCTGCTGGAGCTCCGTTCGGGTTGCTAGGTGGAACTCGGTAGGGGTTGCTAGGTAACAGCACAGCGCCTACTGATTTGTAACTTTATATTCTGGAGGTTTTTTAAACGGCTCATTTTAAGGACTTGGACTGTTTTTAGAAGCAGTAGAAACCCAAATCAAAGTACAAATAATGTGGAAAATGTAAATTTTGCGTAATAGATCTCTGTGTGACAGAAAGAGAAAAGTGGATATTTATATGTACATATCTGGGTGCAGCTGAACATTTTCCCACATTAGTTTAAGTCAAATGTTAGTTAGCAAGTTGCTGCGTAGATTGTGCTTTAACCTGAAAACCTCACCTTGACTTTTCACACTTTTTTGCACCAACTCAGGTTTTATTTGGCTGATCTTCGAACATCCCAAATAATACTGTAATACTTGAAGCTAATCAATAAGATTGATTAAAAAAATAGGTATGATGGTGAAAAATGATGGTTTTAAATTCAGTGACTGACTCGGATCAAATCTTTTGTTGATCCGGTTACTTAAATTTACTCATGATGGCAGTAAACAGATATTTAATCCCTTGTAATGTATTTTTTGATGGTGCCCACTTTTTCTTACAGATCCCCTCATATATCAGGCGAAGCTGACATCTGCGTAACCAAGAATCCCTTCATTTAATAAACATCAGTTATTTTATGCGTTTAAATGCAAAACTTTTGTTTTTGGTTTGAAACTCCTTCGTCTTGTCTCCATAGCAGCACAATGTGACATCTCCTAACCCCCCTCAGCTCGTAAAATTAAAGCATTTTTAGTTTGTAATGACATAAAAAGAAAACAAAGAAAAGTATTTTTCTGCAATTATAGTCTCACCCGCTTCTCCTTGTCACTAAACACTCCTTTAAACTCTGATCTCTGATAAGCTAAAAGCTTCAGTCGATGCTATTTTCCATTCAGTGATTTGCTTTTAAATTGTCATTGTCTTGTATTTATTATTACCAGGAATCAGAGGGCTTTCTGTATTCATCTGAAAAGCATTTCCTATATATATATTCATGTTTAAAGGGTCTAAAGATGCAAGTTGTGCATTAATCTATAAATGATTGCGTAAATCTGCATCTAAGGTAACAATTATGTAATGACTGATACCATGAAACATTAATACTAATATCTTAAACTGCTTAAAGTTAATATGAATTACAGTGATATGTAATTTCCCTGTGGGATCAATAAAGTATTTTTCAATTGAATTGAATTACATGCCAGCTGCTAATATACACTTGCTAGCTAGATGGCTAGCTAGTTTGTTTGGACTTGTCATGGGAAAGTGTACATTTATCACCAGTTTGTCTTTGAAACTGACTCACTTCTGTTTGTTACCAACCTGTACGATGTTACAAGCATTTTGTGCAAAAAGCTACGACATTAATACAATATAAAGTATGCAGTTTCCTTTTGTACATTTCTGACATGATACATTTCTTAAATTTCATTCATTATGGACTTAAAAGGTTTTAAAAGGCCTTAAATTTGACTTGGTGAAACCTGCAGAAACCCTGTGAGCTAATATAACCTTGCTAACTAGCAAAGGTTAAAGCTAGCTAGCCCTTCTTAGCCATTTGCTCATTTCTGATGCCAAACTGTACAATTTATTTATTTGGAATTATCTGTGGAGATATAGGTCGTACATTTCACTCATAATCATCTTGAAAATCCTTAAACTTAAGAGGTTGAAACCTGCAGAAACCCTGAACTTGCATGGTGCAGTTTTAGCAAAGTTAGGGTTAGCAAGATGTGGAAGCAGCAAGTTGCCCAAGCTATCTTACTACAGAGGAAATGCTAATGCATTCGATTATGGCCCGCCTTGATGTCTTGTGTTTAGCTAACTGTAACTTTGTAAATCTAAATTGTTTTTCTATGTTCTTTTGAATTTTTTTTCTTTTCCATCCATCCTTTTGAAACATTGCCTATATTTTAAACAGTAATGTCTTGTTTTTAACCAGCTAAGCTTTGAGCTCTGAGGATTAGCAGGAGCTTTTAAATGTTTTTATAAAGCCTCTGTTCTTGTTGGAGGATGGACTCCATGTGGTTTGGAAATGGCTTCTTTAACCTCTAAGCTTGATGGACATTCAAAGACTCTTTCACTGAGACCCTGCCAATGTTTTAAACTTGGCAGTTTAACCTTTTTATTGCCATAGAAACCGCAATGACTGGTCAGTTGTTGTGTGAATAGTTTCTAACTACTATCTGCTTGTTTTTTATGTAAACATGCTTTGTTTTGGTGATACTCAGTGATTTATTTCCATTATTTAAAAGAGTTTCTTTACCAATTTAGTTTTGTATTATTTAGTCCACTGTGATCCAACTCCAGTCCGTTTGTGTAGAAAGTTCGGTTTGTTTGGGGAGCTGTGAATGTGAACTCTGGTCCGCCTACAAACCTCGGTCTGGGTTGAAGTGAACTCTGGTTCCGTTTGAATGTTTATGTGAACGCCAAGCAGACCAGAGACCGCTCCAAAAGCAGGAAATGGACTACAGCGCAGGGCATTCTGGGTAACGGTGTGCTCTGTGACCCTTGACCTGCTTTTGTTGGGTAACAAATCGCAGTTCACAATTGATACAAATTTTCCCCATCCAGCACATTTGGTTGATGCAGAAGGAAAATATGTGTTTGTAAATTAAAACATAAATTTCTTTCAATGAAAAATGTTAAAAGTTTTGCTTTTCTATAACCAAGATTTTACAATAAGTAGAAATCCAGAGACAACTTTTGTGTGCCCAAATCAGCTTTTTCTTAATGTATTAAACTTGGCTAAATGTAGCAAACATTTAAAAGAAAGTGACTCAAATCTTACTACTAAGAATAAAATTATTCAATAAAATTGAAAACTATTTTTTTAATTCAAGCAAATGTGCAAAATCCCTTTTAAGTGTTGGATGTACAATGAATAACATCCAGATTGTACATAAATACTTTAGTAGAAGTTTTACTCAACAGTTCTGCCCAAAATGTTTGATCCAAATCATACAGTTTAGACACCAAATACTGAACATCTTTTTGAATTTTTGTCTTATTTAACTTAACTAAAAAAAACATTAAATACAAATACTTCCACTAAAAAACTGACATGAACAGGTTTAATATTGAATGTTTATTCAGACTGAGGAGTATTCAGCGTACGTTAAGTGTTGAAATGTTTTGATTGTGTTGCGTAAATGCTTGTTTTTAAGTAGAAAATGATCTCCAGGCAGATTCAGCTGCATTAACGTGTTAGTATGGAGCAACAGTGAACATTCAGCCGCACCTTCAATGAGCCGCAACACATTTTCCACGCTGGGAAACTGGAGCTGAAAGAGACGGAAATGTCATCCGTTCAGCATCTAATTGAAAAGGAGAATATTGCTGAAGGCTTTTGTAAAGGAAATTCAATATGGGGCGCTATGACATCTGGAAGAAAATCTTGTCAGGAATGCAAAGAGAAAGTGGGGGAAAAAAAAAAAATCTCGCTTCCGTCAGATCGGACTCAGACAGGTCCGCACCCAAGAGGGAGTCTCGGATCGATACTAAAACAGTGAGAACAAGTCGGGCCGATGCATCGGAGAGCAATAACGAGAGACGAGGACAAAGTGGGGAAGAGAACGTGTTGTGGAGGCAAAAACGGACAAAAACCATGTATGGTCCCGGCTTTAACAGGAATACTGTACATTTTATTTGCTAGCATGTCTAAGTAACCCTTCGATGTTTGTCTGAGGTCCAGTAGGTTCAGAAACACTCAGGTTCACTGAATTTATTCTAACGAAAGATGAAGTCCAGGTAGTAGTTAACGTCAGTCCAGCCGCTTCTGCCCCTGTATGTTAAATAAAATATAACAAAACCCTAAACAAACTACAGAGCAATGAGCAGCTAACAGTTGTAACATAAAACATATAAAATGAACAACATATACAAAACACAGGAAACTCTTTACATGTCCAAATTTGTCTAAAATGTACATTAAAATACAACACAGAGCTGATCCTGATGCAAACCACAGTTTCAAACCCTATCAGAAAAACAGGGGGCGGAGCTGACACTTAGTGGTTGCTATGGTAACCACCAACTGTACCAACCTTTTGACTAATCAAAATTAATTTAAAGAATAAAAAACTTCACATCTATAATATTATGAAAAAACCCTGTCAGACATGTACAAACCCAGCAGTGGAAGAAAATGAAAAACGGCAGATGGTCTGTGGAAACGTTTGAACATTCAGAGAGGAGAGCTCCTGTGCCCTCTTCCCCCCGCTCTCCTGGAAGCATCAGCAGGTTTGGCCTTGAATGGT